TATTAGTTCTCTTTTTGTTAGGGAACAAATTATGCTTTGGCATCGTAGACTAGGACATCCCAATTTTTTCTATTTAAAATATCTGTTTCCAAAGTTATTCAAGGGAATTGATTGTTCATCTTTTAATAGTGAAAGTTTTATTTTAGCAAAAAATCATCGCTCCACGTATTTTCCAAAACCTTATAAAACTTCTAAACCATTTTACTTAATTCATAGCGATGTTTGGGGTCCTTCTAAAATTAGTACTCATAGTGGAAGAAGATGGTTTATTACTTTCATTGACGATCATACTCGCCTGTCTTGGGTTTATTTAATGTCAAAAATATCTGAGGTGAAAGACATTTTCAAAAACTTTTATGAGATGATTGAAACTCAATTTCAATATAAAATTTGTATTTTACATTATGATAATGGAACTGAGTATTTTAATGAGTTTTTGGGAAATTTTTTGAAAGAAAAAGGTATGATTCATCAGTCTACTTGTCGGGATACTCCTCAACAAAATGGGATTGCTGAAAGCAAAAGATAGGCATTTACTTGAAGTAACACGTGCTATAATGTTTTCCATGCATGTTCCAAAATATTTATGGGGGGAAGCGGTTCTCATAGCGACCTACTTAATAAATAGAATGCCTACTAAAGTTTTAAATTTCAAAACTCCCATTGAGTCCTTTAAAAATATTTTTCCAACATCGCGCATATATTCTGATCTACCTCTCAAGGTTTTTGGGTGTACTACTTATGTTCACACACCTAGTCATTTTAGGTCGAAACTTGACCCTTGCGCTATTAAATGTATCTTCTTAGACTATGCTTCAGGTCAAAAAGGTTATAAATATTTTGATCCTCAGACAAAAAAACTTTTTGTGAGTATGAATGTGTCCTCTTTAGAAAAGCAACCATATTTTATCCAAAATTCTCTTCAGGGGGAGAAAATGAATTTGGAAGATAATTTTTGGGATATTTCTCTTCTTAGTCCCATCTGTTCGGATTTTACTAGTCCTTCGATGCCAAGTATAGAAACTGTCCAATCAGGGGGAGAAATACTACAAAACGATTCTACGAATCCTAGTTCTGAGTTAAAGTTTTATACTAGAAGGAAATTCAATAAGAGGAACCAAGATCAAATAGTTACTCCTTCACAAAACCAATATGAGACTTCGAGAAATGAAACTGAACTATCTGATAATCATCCCTCTTCAACTTTGTCTGGTAATCCCTCTTCTTCAAATTTTAAAAATAATTCACTTGTTGTCTCTGACCTTGATGTTCCTATAGCAATTAGAAAAGACGTTCGAAATTGTACCAAATATCCTATTTCGAACTACATTTCATATGAAAACTATCAAATAGTCATAAGGCTTTCACATCTAGGATAACTAATTTGTTTGTTCCAAGGAATATACATGAAGCTTTAGAAGATCCACATTGGAAACTAGCTGTTATGGAGGAGATGAATGCTTTAAAGCAAAACAGTACTTGGGAGATAGTAGAGTTGCCAAAAGATAAGAAACCAGTGGGATGGAAATGGGTGTTTACCGTAAAGTGTAATGCAGATGGTAGCATCGAGAGATACAAGGCTAGATTGGTAGCTAAAGGTTTCACTCAAACCTACGAGATAGATTATCAGGAAACGTTTGCTCCTGTTGCAAAAATTAACTCTATTAGAGTTCTTTTGTCTCTTGCAGTTAATTCAGATTGGCCTCTCCACCAGCTTGATGTGAAAAATACTTTTCTTAATGGCAACCTTGAGGAATAAGTTTTTATGAATTTGCCTCCAGGTTTTGAAAAGGAACTCGGATGGAATAAAATCTGCAGATTAAAGAAATCTCTCTATGGCCTCAAACAGTCTCCTAGAGCTTGGTTCGAACGATTTGGAAAAGTCATATCGAGTTATGGATTTCTTCAAAGTCAAATTGACCATACTATATTTTATAAATACTCTCAGAATAATAAAATCTCAATTCTGATTGTTTATTTTGATGATATTATTCTCACTGGTGATGATGAAGTAGGACTAGCCGATCTTAAGAAAAATTTGGCAAGTGAGTTTCAAATCAAGGACTTGGAAACATTAAAATATTAGGGATGGAATTCGCAAGATCGAAGAAAGGTATATTCGTTAATCAAAGAAAATATGTTCTTGACTTACTTGGAGAAACAAGATTGCTTGGTTGCAGGATCGAAGAAACTCCTATTGAACCTAACTTGATATTACAAGCAGCAAACGCAAAAGAAATAAAGGATAGGGAATAATACCAGAGACTTGTGGGAAGATTAATTTATCTGTCACATACGCGACCAGATATTGCATTTGCTGTAAGTATGGTAAGTCAATTCATGCATGCACCTGGACCAACTCATTTTGAAGCTGTCTACAGAATCTTGAGATATTTGAAGGGAACTCCTGCAAAAGGTATTTTATTCGAAAAGAATAACCACTTCCAAGTAGAAGTTTATATATTGGGCTGAAAGTACTACCAATAGAAGATCTACTTCTGGTTACTGTTCCTTTGTTGGAGGAATCTAGTTACATGGAGGAGCAAAAAAAAAATGTAGTGGCCAGGAGTAGTGCTGAAGCAGAGTTTAGAGCATTGACTCATGAAATTTGTGAAGGTATATGGATCAGAAGGATGCTTGAAGAATTGAAGATTCCTCAGACGACACCTATATGGATTTATTGTGACAATAAGTCTGCCATATCTATAGCTCATAAGCCTGTGCTACATGACCGAACCAAACATATCGAGGTTGACAAACATTTTATTAAAGAGAAGATTGATGCAGGTGCAATATGTATCCCTTATCTTTCGACAACAGAGCAAATTGCCGATGTTTTACCTAAGGGACTTCCAAAGAAACAATTCGATAGTTTAATCAACAAGCTGGCTATGGACGGCATCTTCAAACCAGCTTGAGAGGGAATGTTGGATTTATCAGTATTTGTGTAAATATTAGTTGTCAATATTAGTTGTTAATATTTAGTCTTTATTGTTAATATTAAGCCTTTATGGTATTTATTGCTTTCCTTGGTTGTAGTAGGTCATTCTCCTATATAAGAAGACCTAAGTTATATGTTTGAATATAGCAGAATATTTTTATTCTCTTAAATTCACAGAAACGATGAAAATAAAGGTCCTCATCAACTAAAAGCTTTCAATTTCAAGGTACAAAAGGGTACAAGGCTGGCAGACATTCACAACGGATGTTACAAAAGACAAGAAGGAAAAGTGAGCGAAGAAGGATGTCCTCAATGCAAGCTGATCCTGTCTTAAGTGGAGACTCGAGGTAGCTCGATCGAAAGAGACCGTGGGCTCCACTTGCTCAGTCCCACCACAAAAGGAGAAATCTTCGTCGGAATCTCCCACTCTGCAACGTAGGCATTAATGAGCACGAAAGTGTCGACATTGGGAAGCTTCTCCTTCAACCAAGAAACGACAAACTCAAATCCTTCGTCAGACATGATCCAAGCATAGTTGATGGATTTAGGGTAAAGGCAAACACCAACTTATGCAAAACAAGGGAATAATCTTGGACCACAAGATTTAGGGTTCGTCGAACGACTCAAATCAAGATGTCGAACTCCAGTCTTCGACCGATGTACCTCCACCCCACGATCATGAGAGTGTACAGAGTTTTTGAGGAGGTAAATGATATTAAATGTGGTTTGCGATTCCCAACACGTCCCTTGATCGAGGGAGGAGATCACGGTAAATTTATACCGCTCTTTCCTTGTTTTCTTATAAAACGAAACAGTAGGTACAATGAAAAAGTAAGTATGAATCTCTACCAGAAACCTGATACACAAAATTTCGACCTGTAATGATTTAAAATGGGAGTGATCACCCTTTTTCTTGTAGGTTTCCTTGATTACAAAGGAATTCATTTGATCATTCAAATATTCTGTGCCCAAACAAATATCATCTCAAGAATTTCCATCTTGTCGTAGATTTTTTTTATTTTAATATAAAAATGTAATTGTAGTGAAAACTCAATAACAGTGAAAGAGAAATAGTAGGGAAATAAAAAAAAAAGAGAAAAAAATAAAAAGAGAAAAAAATAGAAAGAGAGAGATGAAGAGAGAGTAGATAAAGATTTAGAGAGAGAATTAAAAAGAGAGATGAAGATGCAAGAGAAAAAGGGGAAAAAAAAGTCGTGAGAGAGCGAGAAGATCAAGAAAATTTCAGTTGAAGATGAACCCTTAGATAATAGTATCGAATCAAAACAAGAAAAGATGAGTTAAAAAACTTAGTTTCATACTGGCATTACTTCACCGTCAATAAAAGCATCGAACAAAAATTGAGTTTGACGATTTTGGATCATTTTAGCCAAAAAGTTGAAAAAAAAACAAACATACATGAGTGCACCTCATAAAAATAAAGTTTTTTTGTTTTTAACATGTGTTGAATAAATATTCGAAACATAAATACCTTAACTCGTTTGAGCTAGTTGATTTCAAAACAATACATTCTATTAATAAAATTAATATTAAAGGTTCCCGATCTTTATTAAAACATAATCACAAAATTCTAGATTTGAAATTTCAGGTTAGGGATAAACTTGAAATATTAAAAATCTGATCTAACAAACATCATGTCATGCAGCTTAGGTAGCCTGCAATTTTAAATAAATTAGATAAGCATAAAAAAAATACAAATATTATAATTAAAAAAGTTATTTCTAATAACAATTTCATTTTTTATTTCTGATTTTACTTTCACCCATGTATAAAATCTAGGTCAAATTTTGGAAAAATAAAACTAATAATAATATATATATATATATTTTTTTTTTTTGAAAACTTGTTTTTATTTTTTAAATTTGACTAAGAATTTAAATATGTTGCAAGAGAGGTGCAAAACTTATAATGAAATTGGACAAAAATAAACAATTTAAAAAAAGAAAAAAAACAGAACTAACAACAAGATAGTTATCAAAGCCCCTAAACAAATACAAACAAGAATCTTAAACAAGACGAAACAACACAATATACATAGAAATTTGGTACTAAAAGCAAATGATAAGCCACGAACTTCAACTTAAAAAGAATACAAGAAGATAAACACCAAAAGAAAAAAAAAATACTACCAGAAAAAAATAGCTTAAAAATTAGCATATCATTAATTTATTGAGGCATGAATGGAATGACAAATAATGAAAAGTGAGATTATACCAATGGGAAGTGATTGAACAAAAGAAGAGTTTTGAAGCAACCCCAACAGGCAGGCAGCCACACCCAACATCACCTTCTTAGTAGCTTCAGCACATCTCCTACCATATGAAGTGATCCAGTCACAAGAACCTGGATCCATCACAAAATTTTGCTCAACAAAACGACAATGATATAATGACGACAACTATATTTCGAGATCTTTTCTTCTTAAGAACTCAACCGAGCATGAAATGAAAGTGGATCGTGGAGAAGGGTACACATTATGATTTTTGATACCCCAAATGGCCATATTACGCGATAAAACATGATCAATGAGAGAATGAAAGAGGAAAAAGAACGACTTAGATATCCATCACACAATAATTATGTATAGTATCCCGTCTTCTAGTTCCACTTCGAAATTATTTGAAAGAACAAGAAAATATATATATTATATTTTTTTTGACAAGAAACAAACTTTTCATTGATAATATGAAAAAGGAAAAAAAAGTTCAAGATACAAGCTTCCAAAGGAACTGAAAAAGAAAGAAGAAAAGTAACCAAACCTAACAACCAAAATACAAGAAAATAGAAGAGATCTGAGCTTAAGATATATCAAAAAGTTAAAAGTGTATGCAGAGAAAACTTTCAGCAGCAAAGCTTGCCAAACTAAAAAGATTGCCCGCTGAGAAGGAAACCAAGACAACCATTTAACACTAACTGACCGTCGGAATGAAAGAACAAGAAAAGAATATAAGAAACTGAAACTGAAACTTCATCGCCATGTGAGATTTAATGATGCTAATCAATCAACTAACCTGTAGTCTAACGGATGGGGATTCTCTAACACAATCTCGCAGCCATTTTATCGCCAATGGCAATGAAGGCATCACTGCGCTGTCACCAAAGTTGTTATCTGAAAGGCTTGAGTGTGAATCTTCATACAGATGAGACAACATCCGCTCGCTGTCTAGTTTAAGATCCTTGTCAGATACTGCATCCGGTTCTGCATAAGCAGACGACAACCGTGTTTAGTCAAGATTCAAATAAAATAATTAAACCATAAACCAGAAGCTAAGTTAACTCGCATATCCAACCCACCTGTTACAAAAAGAAAGCCTTCATGAATTTAGCCTTTAAACTATAAATAGCCTTAAAATGGTGTTCATCCTTAAAAAATGTCAAATCAATTCCTAATCTGCAATAATTTGAGTAACAGGAACCATTCGTTTGCTGCATCCTCAGATATAAATGTTGTTCTAGGGAACTAAGTGTAATTAATTTGATTTTTCCTGTGAGTTGTACCTTTTTATAGCAATGCAAAACTAAAAACTAAGGATAGAGACACCAGAGAGACATACACGAGAAAAGAGAGAAGAAATAAATTCTCAAATTGATTCATCAAAGATGAGGAATAGAGACACTATTTATAGGTTACAAGAGGAAACAAAATCTAGGAATAATCTCCTAACTTCTCTAACAAAAAAGGAGATTTATTTGCTAAATTTAAACACAAAATCTAAACAACTTTAAAACAACTTCTAACTAAGTCCACATAATCTTAACTTCTAACTAATTCAACACTCCCCTCCAGCTGGACTATACAGATTGAACGCTTGATCAACAACCTTTCAAACACGAGTCTCAAGAGTCCCTTTGTTAGGATATCTACAGCTTGATCTGATGATGAAACATACATCAAATTTATAATTTTCTCTTCAATCTTCTCCTTGATAAAATGCCTGTCAACCTCAACATGTTTAGTACGATCATGATGCACTGGATTGTGTGCAATAGCAATTGCAGCCTTGGTGTCACAATAGACTTCCATTGAACTATCAAACCTGATCTTGAGTTCTTGGAGAAGGAGTTTCAGCCACATTATCTCACAAATACCATGAGATAATGCCCTGAATTCAGCCTCAGCACTACTTCTTGCAACAACTGATTGTTTCTTACTC